TCACTAACCGAGATTGGTTATCCTAGCGCATTCTTAAAGAAGTATATGTCTGCAGTGAAAAAGAAGCCGGTGGTTTCGACTGCCCGAAAGAAGCCTTTGTTTATTAAGCTACAATTCAACGGAGATGTGGCCTGCGATACTCTGCAGGATAGATTAAGAAGAGTAATCAACAGAACATTCAACGCTGCAAAACTTGCATTGACTTTCTCCAGTCGACCTGCGACGTCTACTCAAACGAAAGATAAGTTACCTGAGCTGGCCTCCTCTATGTGCATCTACAAATTCAGCTGCTCCTGTGGAGATAGCTATATCGGGCGTACTTCCAGGCAACTTAACCAACGAATGAGTGAACATCTCCCAGCATGGTTTACGAAGGGTCAGTCAAAAACAATACGCAGTTCTATCTTAGCACACCTGGTAGATAGTGGTCACATTGTAGATAAATCTAGATCTTTTCGGGTGATCTATCGTATACCTCCATCATTTCCCAACGGAGTTCGATCCCGTCTCCTACACATTGCAGAAGCCATAGGAATACGTACATTCAACCCTAATTTATGTGTTCAGAAGAAATTCGTGACACCCCTCTCTCTTCCGTGGCCGGATATGACGTAACTAATGATTGACATATTTTATTTTTATTATTTTTGATTTATTATTTTATTTTATTTTTACACATTTGCTTATTACGTAATGTTTTTGACGTTTTTGATGATTATTTGAATTCTATTCACCCACCCTTGACCTACTTTAGTTATCATATTTTACAAATTTTCTTACTACTATCAGTACACCTGTTTTCCTATTATCCACTTGAACTTTTGCCTATTAGATGTAGTTACGTAATCTTTTTCATTTCATTGTGATTATCACTCAAATTGCCTTGATTGGTTTAACATTTTCATATAAATATTCATGTATATTAGAGTAAAGCCTGATGACGATCTAATCGAAAACAATATTGTTCGCTTATATGTGTTGTTCTAATTTTCACAATGGGAATCTTTAAAAGTATTATTTTAGCAGTTATTTAGTTCTACTCAATTAGCTGAACAATTTTCACTGATAACAACCAGTTTTTGCCTTTTTTTCATTTATTTTTGGACAGATAGCACATGTATGAGAGCACGAAACAAATTTATTAAAGATTAACAATGAGAGAGATCTCTTATCAAGTGGTTCATACTTTTACGATGAACCAGTTATTTTGATAAGAGTACATTTAATTGACGTCTTACGCAATCGATATCAAGGTACCTCGCATAAAATTAGTTCATTCTACTGTGCTAGACAACCTCTAACATTCATCCAACTGAAACAGCTGACTTATACAAATTATTTTGTAAACTGTACGTAAGAGTTTAACTAATCGAAGTAGTATCTGTTATTGAAGAGTGTCATTCTATTAATTTCCCCTACATGTTTTTCATATCTAATTATTTTAATTTTGAGCGCATATTTTCTCAAAAATCTATAATTTCATTACAACAGCATGTAAGTATATATAGTTAACATTCAAAGTTATTCCGTTCAAACGAATCTAAATTAGTTAAGGTTAACTGTAATATTTTCATAGCTGGAAAATAAGTAGGTCAAACATCTGGACAAGGTGCCTAATTCGTGTATATTATGATAAGTAATGTTTTTAACTAGTTATCAATGTAAACACAATTACCAACACTTGAAAATCATTTGTCCTAACTATTTTAGACCTAATAAATTATGTGATTATAAGCAGAGATGGATGGTGGTTAACACTGGAATGAAGGACTTGTGTTTTGTGCTATTTCGAACTTGTCAGGCGAATGTACATGCATTGCAGGACTTGAACCAACTACCGTTTATTTCAAACTCTACTGTGTTACCTACTCCACTACAGTGTCCAGACAACTATTGGCTTGTGAAATTGGTTTCCCGACTGAATATAAACTCTGGGATGCAGGTACATCCACTTGATAAGTCCGAAATAGAACAAAACGCGCTTCCTGGATTCTACTGATAACCATCATCTATCTTTGCTTAGGATGTTTGTAACTTAATGCAATCTTCACACAATCCAAATATATGGTAACTAAAGCTGATCGATTGTAGTGCTAACTAACAATAGGAATATTCAAGTATGTTAAACTATGATATTATTATTAAGAGGACCCATTAGTTACGATAATAATCAATGTCTATTTGTAATTGACATGATAAATATACTGAAAATATAATATCCCTGTGAATGTTTACCAGGAAAACATTGTGAACATTTCCACGAGACCAGTTATTTTTGTTGTCTCATCACTATCCCAGACGCAAGCTCGCACACGCACACACACACACACACACAAACCTATACACAAACATTTCACATAGGCAAATGAATCAGCATTTGTATCTTTAGGATATAACAAAAATAACATCTCATATAACATAAATTGACTTTGTAAGTATATACACACATATGTCTATTTCAAACATTAACAAGGTAACATGGAAAGTGTAATTCACAAGTTTCATGAGATTGTTTTCTTTTCTTTACTAACAATGAATTGTATTCAATAAATCACTATACTTGTTAATGTACAACCGAAACATAAACACAGAAACACTTTTAATATAATGACTAAAGATTCTTAGTATTTAAAGAAGAGTTATAGAGACAACAACAAATAAAAAGAAAAATTCAATCCAGTCATCATGATAATTAACAATAAACAATGAAAAATGAGACAATTAGCACTTATAAATGCTTGATATTGATTATGCAGTTGCTTACAAATTCAATCTACAGTGAAATCTCATGTAGTATTTTTGGATGGGAGATTTATTTGCAAAATTTATGCGTGTATAGAGAGTAAGAATAATTATCCAAAATAAATAAGACGTTGAAATGTGAGAAGCTTTTAGAAAACAATGTGAAATCGGAGAGAATAGTGGTATATGTTCATTCAGGATTAAGATAATAATATTCCCTTGAAATTAGAAAAAGAGGAAATATTTTCGGTGTCTACCTGGTCCATGAGGACTTACTGAGGGAGTTTTTGCGTCTCCTAATAAAAATTCCATTGTCTATATTATGTAAACTTAATAATTCAACACACACCCGTACGTTCATGGCAACTTTTTCTGAACCATCTTGATAAGTGTCATGATTTTACTAATCAAATTCAGTTGGACTAAATCTATTGAAGACAATGATTTGTAAAGAATAAATCTTTTGTTTAAGCTAAATACTATCACAAATAATCAGTAGTACTCCTTAGTTTTCGTTAAGGAATTTATTTTCATCATGAACACTCTCCACACATAACTAACATGTTGACATTAATCACTGACTTGTAATAAGTGGCCATGATTAGAAGATATCAAGTTATCACTCGTTACTTTGAATGGTTGTCAAACTATATCTTCAAATAAACAAAGTTGAATTCACTGAACACTGAATGCCAGTTCAGCAACATACTCAATGGAAGATATGAAAGTGGCTGATCGAATTCAGTGTTAGATCAAGAGTAATCCGAAGCTAACATGCCTCAAAATAAAAATATTCATATCCAATTCTCAGCAGTATTCCAACTGATATCAATCTATGATAAATGCTTATTTTCAAAGACAGTATCTCATCAATGGATTTAATTTTTCAATTAGAGTTATGGAGATTAGTGATTTTTACACATTTGAAATCACCAATCAATCATTGTTAGACCAATCATTCGAAACCTGGAAGCACTGGACGGCCGTCAAGTCCTGGTATGGACTCATCAGAGGTAGTGCACATCCACGACTCCTGCACCTCATAGGATTCGAACCTAGGACCTTCGGTCTTGCGCGAGAACGCCTAACCTTTGGATTTAATTTATTTTAAATTAGAATTCTAGTATATATTTCATTAGTCTAATTTCAGTAAGTACAATAACAATTAAGGATAAGCGGTTTTAAATGATGAAAGTTGTACTTTAAATTCTATATCTCTATCCTTTTTTTCGTCTATTATCATTAATACATTTTTTACCAGACTTGATCTAGTGAATTTAATTAGAAAAATACAAATGATACAAAAATGAATTTGACTAATTGCAGATAAAGTTATTATAGTCTAAATACAATCACAAAAGTAGAGCCTGAAAATAATAATGCATATCACATAAAGCACAACACTCAATGAAAAATTAACAAGATGATTCATAAAAAGAGTACGACATCATATCGCAACAATGATGATGAACAAGACCAAAGTATGTGATTATGGTTCAACAAATAAAACTGAAGAGGAATTTAATAAAGAACATTAGAATTTAGCGGCGAAACAAATGATAATGAGTGAATACTTCTGAGATATTGTGATTAATTCTAAAATGTGTCACCTAAAGTCTCTAACTATTTGGTTATGATGATCACACGAAACCCAATTATACGGTATTAGACTAGGATATTTTAACGACCACACTGTGTGATGACAAGTTTTCATGCAGCTATGACTACTTTTTCTTCCAGCCTAATTTTATATCACAATAAACATTGTCCTTTGAGGTAAATGTTGATAAGGAATATCTATCACATGTCCTAACAACAACATCATCAGCTGATAAAGATTTATAACCCTATTAACTGATTTTCTACTTTTCATAGTAATCTTTACTTAACTTCAACACTATTCACCCAGTCGACCTATGAGATATGTGTTACACTTTGAAAATATTTATGATCAAAAACCTATAGTCTTTTTATTTCTTTTATGTTCATAGACCATATATCATAACAGTTAAGTAATACAAAGTGAAGTACTGCAAAATATGCTTGTTCTTTGGTCGGCAAACAGAAATATCACCAATATCACCATTGACGTAAAATGGCAAAGTTTAACCACACTTCCCAAATTACATCAGATCGACTACACTCAGTTATCTCTGTTTCTCCTTGAGTATCAATTTTAATGATGACTGCATAATAATAATTATTATTATTATTATCATTAGTTACAAACTAGAAAAATAAAATACTATCAGTCTTACCTGTATTCCAAGATCTGATGCTTGAATTTGTGGATCACATAACTTGTGAACTTTAATTTGTAAATTACTAAAATCGGTATTCCTTTAAACAGAATTAAAAAAATAAAAATATAAATTGTACAAGTAAAATATAAAGGTTGAATAATAAATTTTCAATAATCAATATCAAATTAAAATGAATAATTCAAAATTAAATTTTTATTATTTTATTACAGGGTTGTGGAGATTGTCGAATCACTTCCACAACCCTATAATGAAAATTATCATGTGATCACCAGCGACTAGCACGGTGAGGAAGTTTCTCCAAGTTCAAGTGAGAAGTTGTGACCAGTGGAGTTCAACTGCGTCAGATGTGAAGCATTGCTCACTGAAGACAGTGGAAGAGGTTGCGAAAGACCGCAGATCGATCTAAGTCTGACACTAACACCACTGGATGCCGGCTCAGTGGTCCAGAGTTTAAGCGTTCATGCGCAAGACCGAAGGTCCTAGGTTCGATTCTCGCGGGCGGGAGTTGTGGATGCGCACTGCTGCTGAGTTACATGCTAGGACGATACGGCCGTCCAGTTCTTCCAGAATTCTAATGGTGGATTAGCATTGATTGATTCGTGATTTCAAATATGATACCAATCAGTCAGTTATCAAAATCTTAACGATGATTTTCAGTTCATCAAGAATAAACAATCTCCATAGATCAGTTCATTTGATTTTCTAATCTTTTAATCAGATAAATTTACTTTAGTGAATCTCTAAAAATAAAGTTAGGATTTAGGATAACTGATTTATAGCGAAGAAAGACACTTTTCTTAACCAATTTATAATAATTAGTTTACGGTTATGGAGATTGTTGCTAGTATTGAAATCATGAACGAATTTAAGTTAGATAATCATCGAGAGTTTGGAAGTACTGGACGGCCATTTCTTTCGAGTGTGGGACTCTTCAATAGTGAGCATCAACAGTTCGCAACTTGGCATTAGATCGGAGAACCTGAGGTTCCAGACCATTGAGTTGTCTGGGGGTTAACTGTTCGCGCGCCGGATCAATAGTTCCCGGTTTGATCCCAGGTTGTGGGGTTGGGGACAAGTAATGCTGATAAACTCCATATTAGGACGAAGCACTTTTCCAATGCCCAATAGATTACGGTCATATTCTTACTGAGTTCTAGCCATGACAATATATCGTCTTCATATTAAAATAATCTGCATAAATCCCTACATGTAAACGGCATGTATTCTCACTTAAATTAGATATAATTAAAATGTTTTTGTCTGTTTAAATACTTTTCAAAGTATACAAAAACATTCTCACTAATTTAAGATGAATAAATCAACTGAGCAAACATATGATTATTGTTATGCTCGTCACTAGGTATGCTTGGAACTATTACGGGTTCAACTTAGTCGATAAACGTGGACGAGACAATGAACCAGCGTCCACGTAGGCTACTCTGGTCCGTTGACTAACGGAAAGTCTTGCTATAGCGTAGAAAGTACATTCTACAAGCACTCAGCAAGCACAATCATCTCAAGCACACAAATTGCGTTTATTTATACATCATAGAGACGTCGTTGGGAGAGTCATAAAAATAGCACACTAAAATAACACAGTAACCAATCACAGCCAAGGTTTTTCCCGGTGGGGAATGTGATCTCAAGGTCAACTGATCAGCCCATGATCGCAAATATGAAATCCAAAATTTAAGCATTTATCAAGCGAGTTCTGGGGATCTAACGTCCCCAACAATTATGCTGCAGATCAAAGTACTAGTAAACTAATAATAATGTGATAAATACTAATTGTGTACCTTTTTTTATATCATCCGATAATATTCAGGTTACCAGTTAGGTATTACGTAACATAAAAAGTAAACTCTAATTTGAAAGTCAATATCTATGTTGATTAAACGTGAAAGAAATTAAGTGAGATTAAACTGACCAGTCAAACATTTCATTGATAAGTTACACTGTAAAGTTATAGCGTCCAAACATTAATAATAAAAATAAGGCCCACTTATTAAACCATAAGAAATTCCCTCATTTTAACTAACAATAATGTAGATTAGCTCTTGACGATCACATAATATTTAACAACCTCATTTCTGAATTATTTGACTAAGATTTGTTTGTACTAAACCTAAACGGCAGGAATTATTTTTCACATAAAAATGCATGATTTGATGACGGATACTAACCACAGATTAGTCGAACATTGATCACACTAATTATCATTCATTCATAATGTAAATTTATACAGACAACTATAGATCAAATTAAACTGTTGGATAATGTCCATTTAAATCCTCTGGAAATCTTTTAAAAATGCTGAAATAAATGAAGTCACTATTGTTCTTATTAGAAAATTTATATAAGGTAAATTAACAATTATGCAAAGAATGAATCTAGGCATCTGCCTCATGCTAATTTGTGTACGCCTACAATCAAGAGACTGATGAAATTATGAAATCTTTAAGTCTCTCAGTGAAGAGCGACGATGGAATCTAAATTTCTACTTTTAATCGATCGGTGATATTTTCTGCTAATATCATGATGTAAATGTATATTTACAGGAATGATTGACTTTTATTCATTTCAGAATATCAACAATAATGATAAAATACCAATAAATACGAGTATTGACTCCTTGTTCCCTAATTCCACTATCTAAATCTACATCTTCATTAGGATTAATGAATTCAATCGTAGAACAAGGCATACACTGAGAACAAAACATTTCCCTTTCTTATCATGTGTACATACTATATAGTACAAATCTACTATCTGATACCTTTTCTCTGACATGAACTTTAAGTTTTCAATGAATCATCATCATCAGCTTATAATACTTTGTTGTTTAGATAGTTATAATATAATAACTTACTGATTGCATTGTTCTATATGGACCACGATCACTGCTTGCTTTTGTACATTCTAAAAATAAATTAATTTGTTCTGCTATATGACTTTTAGAATTAGTCATTAATCTAAAAATAAATAAAAATTGAATAATTGAATAATTGAATTAATAAGTAAATAAATAATTTACATTGACAAGGAAAGCAAAATAAAAAAACAGTATGATCTTCTGACATTGTGAATCTGTAATTATTACCAATTATTATTATTATTATTATTATCAAATAGGTACAATGTTTTCTTTTTAGAACTCAGCATGAATTAGATGTGGGTTTTTTTTATGATGATAGACAATGTAATGTATGTATGTATTCACTGTCAGCCAGATAGTTGTTGTATACAATTTGAAATCTGACATGAATATATTCATTAATCTAAGTTGTTAGAATTCATAACCAATGGCAGAATAATATATCTGAACTGATTCGATTGATTGTATAGTGGTAGGAAACACTACATTAAGTCTAAAAGAATCAATTATTAGTCAGTCAATTACAACATAGAACTTCGTACGTAGTACGTACGTCAGTTTAGGGTGTCATACCGCATTAGCACAGAGACGCCACTGTCAGTTCAAATCAATTATAATCATAGCACAGATACTAAACAGGCAATTTTTTACCATTCAATATGAATGAAACAAACAATCGGTAACTACATGGATTGATTTCGATTTTATAGCCATTTTCTAATCTACTCCACTCCTAGCCATCTTTACGATTTGGAATAGGCATTGGGTGTATGTTCGTAACGTTTATTGCAGCCAAATCAAATAATATGGAATCGCAAATTCAACAAACACTTTTTTAATACTTCACTGAAACCTCATCACTGATATGCACGTCAATTGATATGATTGAATACTTTGATGAGTTCACCTTAGTTGGTAAACGAGAACGAAGACAAATGATTCAGTGACACGACAGGATACTCTAACCCAAGCGTACGAAGGCCCCACTAAGTAGAGGAAGAAGTCTTGATATAGCGTAGAAAGTGTATTCTACAAGCATCCAGAAAAATGAGGTTAACAAGCACACAAATCGAGTTAATTTATACATGACAGAAACGTCCTTGGGAGAGCCATAAAAAATAGCGTACTGAAATAACACATCAACCAATCACAGTCACGGATTTTCCAGGTGGGAAATGTAACCTCAACGTCAACTGATCAGCACGTGTGCGACAGCATAAAATCCAAACTCAGGGCGTTTATTAAGTGATCTAACGCCCCCAACAATCATTCTATTGTCCTACTTTACACCAGAGATCTAGGCGTGAAGATAGTTGTAATGAAATGTTAACAATTTGGGAATATATTCTACCTACTTTTTTTATATTTCATGAACTGATGTGTGGGCTAATTACTAAGAAGATCAACATCTTACTGACGTATGTGTGAGTGTGTTAAATATACTTCATATCATGAGATTAAACCGTTTTACAAATTAAAAAAATCCTTAACACTCGAACCGTTCAAGCATCTGGTAACTTCAAATTATATCTTAAAAGAAAAAATTAAAACTGAATCGTCATAAACTTATGATGAACAATTTCTTAACTCTTTGAATCGCTATTATATCCTCTAATTCAATCGGTAACATGTAACATGTCATAAACAAACTAAACATTAATATTGTTTTTCCAGTTAAGTGTATCAGTACAGCAATGACAGGCTAAATGACTCAACATGATAAATGTCGAATATGCACTTACTTCGTGTATTATTCAAAATGATTTTATGTTGTAACATAGTGGATTTGGCATTTTCATCACATAACTATTTGTGTACACAGTGAAATGAATCGACAACAGTTTTTAATCACTGACATTCTAGATCATTTCTAAACTCCCCCTTAATATTTGTGTATATATAGAAATAGAGATAACATAAAAATCACTCATAGATAAGGCTTATTTTCAGAAGCGGTGGTTCTTGTCTACTACACTTGTTTACAAACGAATAAATAAGCTTTTTTCTCTCAGTTATAAATTGTTTATGCATGTCTGACAATACAAGTCTATTCATCATAACTATCATCTAATTTTAATGATTATTTTTTGACCTACAAACTGTTAACTGGACATGATCGATCATATCATTGAAATAGAATGTTGAATGTCAGAATTTCATAATGAGGTCATGATTTCACATAGAGTGGAATAAAAACAAATAGTAATCAAATTAAAATACGATTCGGTAATAACAACATCTGTTATCAGTATATACACACAACATGATACTTAACATGTGTATGAGGTGTTTTGGCCATAACCTACACACATACATACATACATATATGTTTGCATATTGGGAGGAGTTTGAAAAGTTCAACGTAATCATGACAGGATGATTTAAAAATAGTGTTATTTACTTCTTTATAATTCTATATTTATCATCACTTAACTAAAAAAAAATTTGTTAACATAATAAATTATATATGATAGTTTATAGAATTATCTTACCACAGCCAGGAACAAGTAATCGGTATAAAAAACTGACAAAACATGAACTATATGAAAGCTAAAAATAGAGTGTGAACTAGATTACTTGTGAGTTTACGATGTTACAAGCATTATCAATATAGGGTTGTGTGGAATATTGAGTGTCATTGAAATCATGAACTGACCAAAGCTAGACCATCATCGAAAATCTGAGAGGATCGAACGGCCGTTTCATCTTAATGTTAGACTCCTCATCAGTAGGTAATTGCGAAACCACACATAGCAATCGAACCCCCATGACCATCGGTCTTGTACGTAAACGCTTAGCTCCTACATCACTAAAACGGATTCCACGACCTAACACGGATCGGTTCATGATTTTAATGAAACACAACAATCTTCGCAACCCTACTGTGATAATAATCATCATATACTCACTGGCAACTGGCTTCAGAAGGAATTTGTCTAAGTTCTAGTTAGAAGCCATGACTAGTGGAGTTCAGCCGTGTTGGGTATGAGAGAGCCACTCACCAAAGACAATACATGATAGCTGCATCATGTCATGGATTGAATAAAGTTAGACATTAATACCTTTGGCTCAGTCGTCCAGAGGTTAAGCGTTCACGTGCTAGACAGAGTGTCCTGGTTGCACACTGCTGAAAAGTCCCATACTAGAACAAAACTACAGTCTAGTGCTTCCAGGGTTTTCATGGTGATCTAACATTGATTGATTCACGAGTTGCCTTTATTGATTTGCATTTATTTCCTAGTATTTTTAAACATACTGTTAATTTTATTCTAACAAGTAACTTTATCCTAAGTAACCATTGATTTTTTATTGGATTTAGTATGAAAAAAGTAATGTTTTTTTTTCAATAATACTTACAAGTTAATATACATTCAAACTCTCTCGTTACAAACAATACCTTAAAGTTAAATTCATATCAATATAAAAATTAATCAGTTAAATGTAAATGAAATATTCATTATGACAATATTTACTACTTACCTATGAAGAAATTTCTTAATATGTTGACCAACTTTTTTTGATTTTTGCGGTAAATCACTTGACCAATTGAATTTATTCGCATGATTTGAATGGTGTAATTGTTCTTGACTTTTTAATAATGAATTTTTTTCAAATTTCAATTGATTTGTATTGTTGAGTGAATGAATTGATCTGTTGTTTGAATTGGAATTCAACTGGGAATAATAATGTTCTTCTGATTTATCAGGGAGATATGAATAAGCCTCAGAAGAATTCCATGTAGAAAGTGATGTGTTCGAGTCAAGTGATGATGCCAAAGAATTTGTAGATGATGAAGGCTGTAATGATTCACCAATTGATAAAGGTGCAATACATTGTTGAGTGATTGAATCTCTATCGATTAATTCATCATTATTGTTTGATGATGATTTATGTTCGGCGGTTTTTAAATTATTCAATTTTAAATGTTGCAAATCATTCAATATATCTGATTGAAATGTAGTTGCGTGATCAAAGGTATTGATATCAGTGAATTGACCTTGATCACGTAAATGTTTCGGTAATACTTGAGCGTCTGTAATTTAGAATTTAAACAATTTTTTTTGAAGAAAAAAACAGTTTTTTAGAAGATAGTAATAAATGTGCGTATATTTAACAATCTTAAAACTGTTTATCATGACGTTGACTCTGTTGAGTTGAGACCTGAGAATTCTAAGTACGACTCTTTATATATTTGTTAGTGTGTATTCTGAAAGAGTTCCATACTGAGCGAAAACAAACACCTAGCTTTCGGTAGATTTAATTCATAACCTAACGGAAATCAGTATATGACGAGTACAGCCAACAATCTGAACGTAATAGTAATAATCGATAAAGGTCTTCTTATATACTTTATATCATAATATCAGTGTGGAATCATGCAATAAATAGTAAGTATGGAAGAAATATAGGTGTTTAAGTATTAAATAATTAGAATATTTATAAGTTGAATATATATAAGTATTCTCAGTCAGTCATTTACAATGTAGAACTTCCTACGCGAGTACATAAGTTTAGGTTGCCAAACCGCATCAGCACAGAGAGGCAACTGTCAATTCAAATCTCATAGTGGTAGCGACAGTAGAAGTATTAGCAGCAATGGAAAAGATTAGGGTTCGAAGATATTAGTCGAAAACTATAATTCAGTGAGATAAGTTTGGAAAGAGAAAGATTGAGATGATCAGGAATTCAGAAGGTTAGAACTTGAGAGGACACAAAGAATGAATGCAAACGATTTTGTGCCATGTCTTTCAAGGTCTCCAACCATCAGTGACTTTCGTCTCGCGGACTCTAACGAGGTAGCCTACATCTACCAATATGACTCAATTCATTAGTCAGTGACTTCATGGGTTTATGCCATGTTTTGGTTTGGCATCCCCTAGCTTTCTTCCAACCTACTCCTACACCAAAAAACATAGCCCCTCAAGGCAGTCGATGGTCAGTTATACGTAAAACATGTCCCAACCACCTCAATTGATGAAGTTTCAATGCTTCCTCTATTGATCTGCCATTCTTACCTAAAATCCGTTTCTTAACGACAGCATTGTTTACATATAAGTGTTCTAAAGAATAAATACAGAATTGTTTAAAAATAAAATAATGACGCCTCAGTTATATAACACTTTTTGGTCTTTTTTCTAATATCATTTATCTATTTCTCTGATAGTTAAAATATCTCCTTAATTAAATTGCTATTTCGTGACAGAATAAATATGAGCATTCAATGGTTGCGTAAACTGATAGAATGTTTTAATCTCAACTATTATGAATTGATCTTTCTCACAGTCTATTCCTATCTCAAGCATTTTTGAATGTTAGTCTAAGTGTTATCTGAGTAATGCAAGTTATAAAGATTTTGATCAATACTGATCTTCAAGTCAACATTTTCAGCTGAATAGTTAATCATGACAATAGCTCTCTGGGGTATTTTAAATCAGTTGAATTCAAAATATCTTTGATCTTTTATCCCATATTACTATCGTTTACTTCATCACTGTTTAATGTAGAACAGTATACGTTTTCTTACATATTACTAAACTCATCTGGTCATATACAAAGATTATTTATTGAACATTGAATATCAAACTAAGCCCATTCCATTTAAGTGATAATACTGTGGTGCGAGCTACTTATAAGTAGTATATGACGTGAGTGTCAACATAATGTCTGGCAGCAGAAGATGGGGGAAGATCAAGAAAGGAAGAGTTAGAACATATTGGAATTTGTATGAAATGCATGAATAGTGACAATGGAGTGATGTTTTGCAACAGGAACAGTCCAGTTCGATATGATGAACTGATATTTTGCAAATTAACAATTTACGATATGGTTTTCCGATTTTACTGAGTAACTCTGTAATTTTCATTAAATACAATTCGGTTGCCCCACCTGTGTTCTTGTTCACTACAATACAACTATTAAGTTATTGTTCCAATCAATATTTAATGAACATTCTGTTCAATTCAATTTTATCTTTGTTTATATTAACCAAAAAAACAAAATGGAATTTTAAGTATGTTACATTTGAAATCAAACATAAAAGGAATAAAAGCAATTTAAATTTTATTGCTTTTTAAGAATAAAATCTCAACTGACTATCGGAACAGATTATTATTTTTTTTTTTAAATACTCTTTATTCATTCATAATTTGCAAATAAACTATTTTTTTAAATTCAGTGTAAAAAAAAAACAATTTTTAAGTAATACATGTAATTTACTATCATTATTAACATGGTCATCGTCATCATCATCATCATCATCATCATCATGATCACATGAATAATGTGTACTCGACAAATATTGACCAATCATATAGGAACTGTGTTTTTTTTGTGTGTGTATTATGTAATTGTTTTAAATTAACAGTTATTTGATGATATTTTTGAAGATCACACACACAATGACGTTGATCAAACTGATGATGATGATGACAATGACAATTGTTAGTATTTTTGACGTTGAATAAATTGAGGCGATCATTTTGTTATCGATGATTACAATGAGGAATGAACAATTTCAACTTATACAATTGACAGTTTATGAAAATATTACAAATGATAAGACATGTAACAAAAATAATCATAATTATTATAATATTAAAGATTGTGGATTTAATTTAGACAAAAATGTTTATTATCTTGTAAAAATACACAAAACTAATCAACACAATCATCGACATTGGAATGATCTCATGATTGATCGTATTCTTGACAAACTAGTCAACTTCACGCATCATTCTTGTCATAATCTTCAACATATAACTACTGTACCCATTGATAATTGGATTTATTATCTTGTTATGATAGATCAAACTAACACTGAAAAGATTCTCAATGATTTCACAGATAACAGTCTAGATTCCGATAGTCTAGATTATGATGAATACTGTAATCCAATTGTTCAAAAAATTGCTAGAAAATTTAAACATATCAGAGTTCATCATGGCGAAGTTGACAATGATGCTTGCTTTACTAATGCTCGTCAACTGATGACAAATCAACATGAAATAACTAGTGATTTTGATGATTATGATTATACAGAGAATTGGTATGAATATAATCAAAGTGGATTTGATAGTGATGATGAAATTATTGAAGAAGATATTTATGAAGAAGGGGAGGATTATGCAATAGAACACTATAAACAAGATGTTGTATCATATACAGGTGATGAATTCGATGTTTGTGAAGAAGATAATGGTGATGATGATGATAATGATGATGATGATTATTACAGTATGATTCTTATGAGAGAAATTAAAACGAATAATTAAATTGTTTGTTCAATAAAACTTTCAATGGATAAACTTATTTTTCTTTCTTTTTTCGAACGATCACTCAAGTAAATACCGACAGTATTTCTTTTTTTCTGTGTTCATGCCTTTTTATATTTATGAGATTTTAAGATAAGTGAGTAAGTTTTAATATTTTGTACATTACGTAACTTGTCTTTTTTAATAGTAAATAGAGTGGAATTTAAAAGTAATAATGAAGAATGATAAAAATTCATTCTTCTCGACAACTGATATGCATGTTTCCTATACACAATTCCCTTTATTATTATGTTGAATAGAACTAGAACGAACGAATTAATGCGCAGATTAACATGAATTTTTCATCAACTGCTTACAGAATGAACGTATCATTAAGTTCACACTGTCATAACAGTAAAATGAGATACATATTGATGGTAAATATGTGACAAGTAGTTAATCTTTTTAATAGTAATAGTTAATCAGGTTTAGGCAGACGGGAAGGCCATTTGGTGACTATTAGAAATGTCCTGAAGGACAAATGAATATTATTGGTCAAGAAAAGGACTTATTTTCTAAGGTGATATATATATATGTATATACTATAGTATATGTATATTCTATTCGGTAGCGAAATAAATTTCTCTTCCACTCTTACCGTCGTACTCAAATAGTCAGTCTGGGGAATTAGCACATATCACGTTCAGATCTCAAACATCGCTTATCCTAAAGCTTTTAGCATCCTATTATGAAAATTAATTATTTAACGATGATTTCAAATTGATTTTTCATAATGCATAAAACAGTACGTTGAATTTAAATTTGTTATAATGCTTTAGCCGGGTGTATTTATTGGCAGCTGTCGATAATATACATATATATATATATGTCTAGAAAAGTTGTAAGTAAAGACTGAATGGTCGCCTTTCCAACTGTCAGTCAGCTACAATGTAGAGCTTTGAACGTACGTACATCATTTCCAACTGCTATGTCATGCTAGCATAGAGATACAATTGTCAATTCAAATCCCATAGTGTTAGATGTAGTAGAAATATTAATAAATTATTAGTCTTTCTAACTAGTAACCCATTTATTCGAAAAACGTCTCTAAATAATTATTGAAAATAATTAGAACACTGTCAACCTATACATTATTTAAACATCAATAACTATAGAATTTTACACAATAAATCAATACTTGCCTATTAGTTTATTAAGCTTAAGAAAAAAACTTCATCAATTTTAAAATTACCAATAATTACTTTGAATACTTAAATAAGAAAAAACTTCACACAATACAGGAGTTTTATTTATATGATATTCATCTAAATTTTTGTAATAACGTCTAGATAAATAAAGCTCAAAGTTCATGTGAACTGGAAATTGATTTTAGTCTGATAAAGAGAAATATATATCCCTAGAATTCATCGATTGTTTCTATTATCAAAATTGTTTTCAATTCGAGTTATAGAGATCCATGTTTTTACACGTTGAAACCATCAATCAATCATTGTTAGACTACCATTAGAAAACTGGAATCACTGGATGGCCGCTTCGTTTTGGTATGAGACTCATCAGCAGTGTGCATCTACGTGAGAAGACGTGACCAGTGGAGTTCATCCCTGTCAGGTGTAAGCAGTAACTACCGCAGACAAGTGGGTGAGGTCGTGCAAAATCTTTAGACGGATTAGAGCTAGACATTAATACCGTTTGATGCCGACCCAGCGGTTCAGAAGCTGTCATTAATTTAGTTAGAATCAAACAGTTATATTATCAGGTTTAATTCATTAATCATGATACTGTAACCCAGATTAAGTGAATCTGAAAATATTAAGTTCGAATTTAATGATGCAATGCCCTAGTTTTGATTTCCGGTGAGGTTGTAGGTGTACGCTGCTGAGATGATCCAAATCTTCCCAATTATCTTCTACGATCAAAGGTTTTCTAGTTGATATCAACTAATTACGGATATGAACCACAAATAGAATTTAAATCAATCTGGTAGGAAATTTCTCGAATGAATACAACTACAAACTATATTCATACATACATCTTATTGTATAGTGGTTCTGTTATTATTATCATAAAGTATTCTGACAATTGAATCATTAAATGCATTTCTCTTTTTGAGATCCCCAGTTCGTTTCATGTTGATAAATTCGCCTTATTTTCTATTGTTAAACAACATCGGTTGAACAGCACAATAGCAAAAAAATTGTTCGACTGGTATCAATTTGTAATGAACATGAAATCCCTTCGCTTCATTCGAAACTAGTATCGATCGATATATTTTGTGTTATCTTATATTAGCATTTCTTGAAAATGCCAAAATTTCACATTGTGGTGGTATTTCATTCTATGAGCTGGTTGTTTTGGTTGTGGAGTTTTCATTGTTCTTCTGAACAACATCATCAGCAGGTTTAACGTCAACAACAACCAATCAAGATCGAGGTTAGCAGAACAAACCTACAGGTCAAACGTGGAGAAATTCGAATGCTTCAGTTTATGCTGATGATGTTGTTCAGAAGAACAATGAAAGCTCCACAACCAAAACAACCAGCTCAGAGAACGAAACACCACCACAATCATCCACCTGAGCTACAAGTTTTCTCCACCATCTCAAAATTTCACACTGTAAAGTGATTAACTCAAGATATCAAGATCTTGAAGTTCATATGTCATCATTTGACCATTAGACTTATTATAAAAGAAGCATCTCTCTTTATACCATGTTCTCATTCCAAGTTGAAAAAGCATGTAGATAAATCACTGTAAAGGTTAACAACATTGAAACTGAACTAATTATTATTATTAAAAACAAAAAAAAACACAATCACACTTACAAACATAATTCTCTGGCCATAATTTCTCATGATTCGTATTATTATCCAATGAATCAGGGCATAGATTTTGAATGAAATCCAATGGTATTGATTTATTTGACAATGAATAATCATATGGTATGAGCTCGTCGATTGTAGTACTATCTGCATGATTATTTGCACTATGATTATTGGTATTGTAATGATCATTTAGAACAGTATCAGTGGTAATACTAGTAGTATTATTACTGTGAACATTATGCCTTTCTTCAATATTATTACGAAGATTATTGTGAATAATGTAATTACTGGTATTGTTGCGATGAAAATCCAATGATGTAGTTGTTTGAGATGTTGTTGGCAAATTGTGCAATTCATTTGTTGTTCTACATGAATAATTTTCACTAGGATGGTTACAATCATTAGGTGTTTGTAATAAATCAGTATGATTATTATTATTATTAGTAGTAGTATTGTTACAATGCAATGAATGACATGTGGTGACAGCGTATGGCTAAATTGATTGTTTTTTTTAAAAAAAGAAGTATTAATAACAAATGATGAAATAAAATTGAATGATTTTTAATAAATAATAATTATTATAAAAAGTATCGATTATCAGTGAAATGAAATTGGAAAAGAGTATGAATATGTGCAAATTAATTTTATTTATCATAAAATATCATCATAACTTCATAGAGAAATTTGAGTCATAAATCAGTCAGTCAGTCAGTCAACTATAAAGTAGAAAATAGTACAGACGTACATCAGTTCAAGTTACTATGTCATATTAACACAGGTAGAATTGTCAATTCAAATTCCATAGTGGTTAATGTTGTGGCATTATTAGCGGCAATCCCAGTGGATTCGATTTAAAAAGAGTGGATGCATCTGTGCCATCGCAAACGGTTTTGAGCTATGTCATTCAAAGTCTATAATCATCGGTTATTATTGTCACACGGACTCCAACCAGGTAGTCTACATCTACCAGCATGACGCAGTCCATTTGTCAGTGACTTCATGGATTTCTGCCATGTTTTGGTTTGGCCACCCCTAGCTTTCTTCCAACCTATTCCTACACTGCAAAATATAGCTTGACGAGGTAGTCTGTGGTTGGACATTTATTACACATTTTCCAACCACATCAAGTGATGAAGATTCAATACTCCGTTTATTGATCTTCCATCTTTACTTCGAACTCGTTTCCTAACTCCAGCCTTTCTTACTCAGTGGTGCCAAGATATACGAGCAATGCTTCGAAGACACCAATGATCGAATACTATTAGCACACGAATATTCTCTACTCATAGTGGCCATTATTCACACTCGTATAGTAGGAGAGAACTGTTGTGAAGCAGACTCGTCCTTTGGTTAATAGACGGATTCCTCGCCGACGCCATAAATGACGGAAGTTAGCAAAAGCCAGTCGATCCTTTTGTATCTATCCTGAGATTTAGTCACACACCAGGCTGTCAGGACTGAAGAGACTCCCAAGATAAGTGGGGCGATCTAAGTCATAAATCCCATATCGAATATTCTACCATTTCTTTTGTATGACGCTAATTAATGATGAAAACTCTATTCGAAGTGATAACCTTTTATTCTTTAGAAAATTATTTTGAAATAATATTATTTACATGTTAGATTTGAAATAAATCGATTTAACTCAGTTATGTTGTCAGTTATTTGAAGCCAATTAAAATTTGAAAAGTACGATTTGAAATGTGATATTACTGTTGAACACATTATTATTATTATTATTATTATTATTATTATTATTATTACCATTATTATTATTATTATTATGTAATGCTGTTTAGATCAGTATGACTTCTTAAATCACTGTTCATCTATCCCGAAGAATTTCATGTGTCGATCTAAAGGTGTGTAATCCACTTAGTCTCTATACTAACTTTTTTTCAGAAAAAATCTCGATTACAATTAACAAGTTAAGCTAACTATAAACTGTATGGAATAAGTGTTGGGGACTTTAGGTCCCTAAAGCTCACTTGCAAAGGGTTCTAGTTTTGGATTTTTCATGTTTTCGCGTATAAGACGCTTAGTTAGCTCCATCTTACATGTCCTAGTCGGAAAATCCTTAGCTGTCATTGGTTAATGGATTATTTTAGTACGCTATTCTGTGGCCCTCACAACGGCGTTGCTATCATTGTATAAATAAGCTTGATTTGTGTGCTTAGACACCTCGTATATTTTAGGTGATTGTAGAATACATTCTCTACGCTTTATCAAGACTTCTTGATTGAGTTAGCCGGAGCTAGGACAAACGGATCACAATAGCCTATCGTGTCACTGAGTCACTGCTCTTCATTCCGTTTACTGAGTAAGGTGAACTCGTAATAGTTTCGAGCATTTCGATTGGCTAGCGTATCAATAAGTTAACAACATTTATACGGTTGAATAAAATTTAAACCAATAAATAGTTTCATACATAACAATATTCACACAATAACTTACACTAATATCATCTGTATAATCATTTGATAAATGTCCTTGATAATTTAATAGATTACTATTATTTCTCATTGGAAGTGGTGATGATAGTTTTTCATGGTCATTTTTTGTTATCATTGATCTCGTTGTGTTTGCTGCTGTTGTTGTTGCTGTTGTCATCATCGCTGTTGTCAGTGGTGTGGTCATAGCGTCTGATGCATAATCTTGTTGTAAACTTTTAAAAAATTCATTCATCTCTTCTATTGAATTTGATAAAGATTCTTTCAATGTTACATTGTTCAATGGATATTGGGGTATTTGTTGTTGCAGTTGGTGTTGTTGCTGTTGCTGCTGTTGCCATAAATTTAAACGATTATTTATATCCATTTTAGTATTATTATTATTATTATTATTATTATTATTATTATTTAAATGTTGATTCGGTGAAATAACTGACGATGATGATGATAATGAACATTGATTATGATAATCTGTCATTAAATGTTCAATCCATAATTGATGTTCAATACTAGATAATGTTTTACAACGATTACGTTTAGTATTTTTACGTTGTAAATAGGAATTTTTTAATTGTGAATTAGTATTACTATTATTACTATTATTAGTAGTAGTATTAGTATTAGGATAAGAATGATGAATATTAGTTAGTTGATGTGAATTATCAAGAGTTAATGAAAATGGTGGATTTAATTTTAATAAATCTGCAATATATGGACCAATCGGTGCAGTATCCCATGGTTGACAAAATACTGTACTTGCTCGACTACTAGCTGCTGGTGATGATGTATTCGATTCATATTTTGAATTTTTATTAAATTGTGAATCAAATGATAATTGACGATGATACAAATGTGGTTGTTGTTGTTGTTGTTGGTGACCGGCTGAACGTCTATTCCAACAATCTCGTTCAATGTGATAAATTTCAGCAGATTGTGATATTTTTGGTGCAGATAATAAAGTTACTGTTGGACTTTCAGAAATAATTGATTTTGCTATGGCAGTTTCTGATATCGGTGAAATCGTTGTTGTTGTTGTTGTTGTTGATGTTTTTTTAAAAAATTAATTAATAATTAGATAATTAAGCCGTAAATAAAAATTCAGTGTTATAACATGAATAAATTAATTTCAATCTTTAGTCAATAGTTAGTGCCTTGTGATTTCTGATATTTTTAGAATCTAATTACATCAAAAACCAGACAGTTACTCTTTGTCAGTAGGTTCGTTATTTTAAAGCATTTTAAAGTATACAATACTGTTTTTCATTCTAAGTTTCTTCAGAAGAAAGATGAGTTTTTTTGAGTTGTTTCAAACAGATGAAGTAGAGTAGTAATGATGATGAAAAAGTTTGATGAAATTATCTCCTAAAACTGCGAAAAAATGATTTCACTAATATGAACTGGGGTAACTGCCAGTCCCAAGCCCAGATAAAAGAAGAGGAGTGGTCATCGTGTTAGCAACCCCATCCCGTAGATACATTACTCGTTAAAAAAATGCTGGCCAGAAGAAGTAATTCGCACTATTTAAACTGTGCTCTCGGTATTAGGTCTTAATTTGGAAGTGTTATGACGTCTCACGATGAAAGCTGAGTTCCTTCGGAAGTCACGAACCCGATGCCCCTTCTAACAACTAGAGCAACCATTAATTTCGGTACATTGGAGAACCACGAAGGCTATCATCCAGAAGATACAAGTATTTATTAATAGACGTCTACTCAAAATACTGAGGGTCCGTTGGCTAGATACCATTAACAACCTACTATGGGAGAGAACAAACTAGATTTAAGCAGACGAAGAAATCTCGAAGGAGCACTGAAAGTGGATGGGACACACACTGAGGAAATCATCCGACTGCGTCACAAGATAAGCCCTCACTTGGAATACTCAAGGCCAGAGGAAAAGAGTATTGGAAACAGACATTAGAAGAATGAACATCAATTGGATAAAATTAGAAACAAAAGCCTAGGACGGAGTAGATTGAAGAATGTTGGTCCGCAGCCTATGCTCCACTGGAGTTGACAGGCATCAGTGAGTAAGTAAGTCACTCTTGATAAACATGAATTTACTTATTTAATTCTTTATACTCTTCAAGATAGACAAAGAAATAAAGAACTGTAAAAAATAAAACTTGAAAACAAAACATCCGAGTATATCAATTCCTTAAATATTTATCTAAACATAATTCCAATTCAAAAGCTGGACAATAATCCTTATCTAAATATCATACTCATCAATCTAATTGGTGTTCATCATTGCTTACTACTGTAATGAATGAAGCAGGACTTCTGAATTCCAGTGGAAAATACAATGTAATCAGCAACACATATGGTTGTAAAAATTTATTCTGTTATTTGAACAGCTTAAAATCTAATCAATAATGTCGAGATCAATAGATGAAATAATTAAAGTAACTACATGGTTGTGGTTAGGTTCTGCTGATAAGTTCCAAATGGTAAAGAGAACTTTGGAGAGTACCATCTGATTTTAAAATAGTACTTTAAATAACATTAATTCTTGTTGAAGGTGCCGTCCTAAATAAGTTAGTCCTCAGAGACCATCTTATTTTATTACTTGTTGAAACACACAAACATTGTTACAAAGTGAAACCTAAATATTCCAATACTACACTGATCAATGAATTCGTGTTTGGGCTGGGATACTGTCCGGCTACCCAAATCAAAGCAAGTGGTTTTCTTAAGAAGCCGCTATTCAATCCTTTGACGTAGAAATACAATCCATACGACTATAGAACAATGTTAGGAGATGAAGTCTCATGGTAGTTGGTAACTAAGAATCGGCTTATACAACACTTATTCCCTTAGAATCCTGAGGTCCGTGTTCACCACTAGTTTGGAATCGAAGTTTTCTAAATCCCTTAGATGGATCCTCTGTACTCAGAGACCCGGTTCGACAGTTAAACACCTGTGGAACGAGAAGGCATTAAGTAGGACTTGCCTATCAGTAGCTGTATACACGGAAACATGTGAGAGCATATCACTCAATGCATCATTCAAATCCTCATTCAAAAAAATTAGATAATTAGATGAATAAACAGATTGAATAGTCCATAAATTCAAATGTAATCTATTCGATCAGTATTTTGATAACTTCTTCTCACAGAATATTTTATTGATAAATACATTCACAAATAGTGTTTTACTCACTTGAATCTTGTTCAATGCATTTCAAATAATTTCTATTGAATTCTATATCATTATAATTATTTACAAATGAATCATCAGTGATATCTGATGTTTGATGATGATGATGATGATGTTGAGTGTTCATTAGTTTTGAATAGATCATTTCATTGTCTGGTTTACACATGGATAAATTTTGTTTTCTTAGTTTATTCACTTCTTGATCATCATACATTGTAGAAATTTTCTTAATCTATCAAATGAAGGTGAGTGAATTAGACACAGAGAGAAAAAAACAGTAATTCATAAAACACTTACAAAATGTTAAAAATAAAAACACACATTTTAAGAAAATTAAGCTCACACAGTGATGAAGATGTATTAACCTCTTGGTTGAGATGATTATTTGACATTGATCATTCTGTTGGGGATGTTAGATCCCCCAAACTCGCTTGATAAATGCCTTATTTTGGTTTTCACATTTGCCAGCATGGGCTGATCAGTTGACCTTGAGATTTCAATTCCCACCAGGAAAACCCATGGCTGTGATTGGCTGCTATGTATTTTAGTGTGCTATTTTCATAACTGTCCCAAGGACGTTTCTATGATGTATAAATAAACGAGAGTTGTATGCTTGATGGTACTGTGATTGCTGGGTGTTTTTAGAATATACTTTCTACGCTTACAAAGCCTTCTTACTTCAGCTTTGGTTTCAAGGTAGGCTACGTGGACGCTGATAAAAGTCTCTTTCGCGTTTATCGACTAAGGTAAACTCGTAATAGCCTCAAGCAAACTTAGTGACGAACATAATACATTCACAACTGATTCGATAAAAAAAAATGAAACAATCTTTTAACAAGTAAACAAACAAAATATATTACGGGGTTGTCAAGATGCTGAGTTATACATTTTATTTCATGAATCGATCAATGTTAGACTACCGTTAGAAACCTAGAAGCACTGGATAGCACTGTTGACGAGTCCGATACCAGAACGAAGCAACCGTCCAATGCTTCCTGGTTTCTAATGGTAGTCTAACATTCATGATTTCAAATGTGAAACAAACTATAGACAAACAATTTGAAATTGTTATTCAGTAATCTAATATGATTCATAATGTTCATGGTTTATGATAATCTTATGTGAGAAGAATGTAATATCTGTAAAGAAATCCATACTATACAAAGAGTTATATAAATATATAAACTTATATATTCCGCACTACTATAAACTGGAACAAAATTAGCAAAAGAAATTGATGGAAATGACAACTATGATAACTGACTAATCTTAAGAATGAAGAATGTAGGATATAGTTCAGCTAAACTGGAAGAAACACGGGATTCGACTATCGGTTGATGATACTAAAAGATTCCAATCTATCGACTTGATGCCCTGCATCACAGAGATACTTTGCAACAGCACTGCTCATAGCATTTAATCCCCTTGACATGAGACTTTTTATGGGCTATATTCTAGAAATCGAGTGTAGACCCTTCTTTCTGTTCTGCCAATGTAATTGTTTTGGCTGATACGTGTAAGTTTGTACACTCAGTTAGTGATAACATGAAAAGGGATATTGAGTTTTACTACAGGATTAGTACTGATTAGTATCGCTTTCAATTTTCTGTTTATTATAGCTGTGACATCACCACCTTTGAATTCAAGTTAATTAAAGATAGGTTCCCTGTCTGCTGCAGTTTCTTTAATTGTTGTGTCTTTATTTTTACCACATTCTTCCAAAAAATTTCTTCGGATACCCATATTTCTTTAGCCATCCTTTAACATTGATTAATTAGGCCTCTGTCGGTAGTGCCTATCATTTCCACTCTGTGAAATAACGTTTAGATAAATGTCTTTTTGTAACTAATCAGCCAAAAGCTGTTAAAATTCAGATAAACACCATTTCATGTATTTTTTTCTGGTAAACTGATCGCTGAATTATCCCATCCTTGTGAAAGTGGAACTTATCATCCTTTCCATGTTCCATTCATGGTATGATTAGTCTTCTCTCTCGATTAATTTTGTCTGATTTAAGTACTATACACATAAACGTTTCAATAAAATGCTTCTACCGGTGTTACTTTTTGAGTTTCAATTAAAAAGTAAATTCGGTAATCGCTTCCTTAATTTCAATTAGAATATTCTTACCACATATACTGTTTCATTATTATCGAGAATTCTCATAACTGATAGCAATACTTGATGAAATAAATTCCCGCCCAATCCTACATCAAAAATCAATCGAAAGATGTAAAATCAAACGATCAAAACATCAATTGAACATTGAACAAACAAACAAACAAATAAAACTAGTAATAAAAATAATAATAATGATACTCATAGGAGTATTTTATTTTCACTAACCTCATCTATTGTCAATGCGTTGTTACGCAACCATGATGAATTTTCTCCTAGTAATAATAATCTATTCTTATAATTAGAATTATCATCATTGTTCAAATGGTTGTTAGTGTTAGCGGTATTCTTGTTTAATAATAATAAATCTGTATATGGTTGTGTTTGTTTAGATGATGGTTTTCTCAAAGAATATGCACGTCTTAATTGAGGTTTACTAATTGTATGCATCGGTTCAGATTGATCATTAGGATTACTGTTATGTTTATGCGTATCACTTGTTGTTGTTGTTGTTCTTGTCATATTGTCATCTTGATATGACATGTTGTTTTTCAGAGATTTTTCATGATTTCTCAACTTCTCACAAGATGTTGCTGATATTGAGGTTGCTGCTGCTGCTGTTGTTGTCGTCGATGTCGTCGTTGTCATCATCGCCGTGGTTGATGAATCAAATAATGGTGGATTCGATAGAAAATTATATTCATCTGTAGGATAAGCAGTAGCTTTCATGACAAATACATGGCCAACTGTTTGAGGTGTGGCTAACTCATTCAAATCTAATGAATATCTAATCGTGAAATAAAGAATTATTTGACAATTACTCGATTATACATGTATTTAAATAAATATGATAAGTTAGTTTTAAATTATCATATCTATACAGTAGTATATTTATGAATACAACTTATGCATAGACAAATATATTTATACCCTTAAGATTTCCACTATTCATAAACGTATCTATATATGTGAGTATGTAAAAATGTATGAAAAGTGTTATCCAAGGACATTGTGATTTTCAATCACAAATATATATGTATATATCTTATTGAATTAAAACATTGTAATAAACAAAGTGACATAATTGTAAAACAGGTGGAACTGAATTATTACAATACAATACAATACAATACAAAAAAAATAATAATGTAAATGTACATTGATCATAATCGAAATTATTTATACTTTTTTTCTCTCTCTCTAAATTCAAAGTTACAATTGAATTGATTTGTAATTCACACTACTGAAACAATAGATAATTATTTACTATTTACTACTATTTGAAAAATTTTCAGTAGTTCACATCATAGATAAATAAGTAGAGGTTAGTTTTTTTTTACAAGATAGTTACGTCACTTTTTTCTCTGGTTCTCTCTCTCTCTGCTTCCCAATTACTGAACAGGATATTGCTTTCAGGTAAACATGATCGGAATCCATTATTCGTTTTGTCATCATAACCTGCCGAAAGCTTTGTGAGTTTTAAAGTGGACTTTTTTTCGAATGATGCCAAATCTTCGGTGATTATTTTTTCAGAGGTTAAACTACAGTCGAAAAAGACTTGTAGTACCTCCACATATATTCCAGTTCGCTTACATTTAATTTGGTTAAGCCCTTTCAATTAATTTATTTAACCAAGCCATTTGTATTGCAACAATTTATATGTACCATTCGTTCTTATTATTATTGTCTGGTTTGTATGAGCTCATATGTGAGGTGTTCCACTTGTCGTTTGACCTTGTCAACTATTCGTCGCTTTTATTCATGTGTGTGCATGCCTATTTCGCTTGTCATATGTCTGTCTTATATTTGTCTGGCTATATATTCTTATTCACGCTCTATTTCTAGGAGTTGGCTCATTAGCCTTCTTCAGCGCGCTTCGCCTGTTCGTTCGCTTCTTCCGCCCATTCGTTCGCATTGTAATCTAGGGAGTTGGCTCAACAGCCTTCTCCAATTCACGTCGCTTCATTCGTTTCATTCACCGCTTCTCCGCTTCGCTTTGTGGTGTATCAAAAATAAACGTATTCAACACTTTGTGTTCACCTTCTGATTTATAAACCGTCAGACGCTAATTAGTAACGATTGTCTAGACGAGCTAATTACCGAGTTTAAGAACACGCAGTAAATCGACACACTACAGACTATAAATTATCAGGAATAAATAATATTTTCATGAGTTTTTAACGACTAGATTATGTAAAATCGGTGGACTGCTTGAATATTTTGACTGCCTGCTTCTTAACATCAAAATATTTCAACAAGTTACCACTTTTGCTTGTTTTAACGCACCAATTCTGTTTATTAATCTGATTATCTATTTAGGTGAGTAAATAAAAAGTTTACGGCCTATCGATTCGCAAGGTACAAAAAAGTACAATCCGAGATATCGTGCCAGGAAAACAATGAACGTTGATAAGACATCGATTCTTGAAATGCTTCCTTCCAACTGGTGATCACTAATTATTTTGTAAAGGAACCTTGTTGAAGTAGTGTACTCAACATATTAGATTGAATAAACCAAATGTTATTAATATTAGTATTATCACTATTAAATATGAACCTTAACTCAGATTATCAGCTGATTTTTATCCCTGAAACACCTTTTCTCATTTTAGTAAAAATCATAACTAAAAGTCAGTATAGTATATCCAATTTAAAAGTGAAATGTAACACTCATGCGTTTTGGAAAGATGTTTTTTACTGATGATACTTCCGAATTCTCATCTGATCGATCGACTTTTTGTGTGTGAGATAATTTTACAATAAAACTTGAAAAAGTTTATCAATATTTTCTTTTATTCCGTGTCGCATTTTGTACCACTATATTTGTTTTAGTTTCGTGAGTAAAACAATATGGCTTCAATGGGATTCGAACCCAGGATCATTTAATTTCATACTGATAGTCAAGCAGTACCCATATCATTCACATAAATAATTTGACACAAAGTTGAATAGATAAACGTGTGATTGATAAACAAGTTTAACTAAAGAGATTAGTTGTTTAAAGGTGTTCATCACTCAAATTTAGGAAAAATTTGACATTATACACTTAATTCTGTTTGTAAATAAATATAGAATCTTAATTACTTGTGTCAAATAGTTCGTTATTACTTGTTTTTTTGAAACAGAATCTAATCAGTTTAAGTCCTAACATGTCACACACATTCGTGAATATAGTCAGTAAGTACTTTTTGGTACTTTTATAGAGAATCCAGTTTAACGAGTAATAAAGGTAGCAATTCCACATTTCACTAAAGTAAGTATTCATTATTGGTGAAGGAGATTAATGGAGATTGTATTATTTTTATAGCTGAAATCATGAACTGACCTTAGCTAATTTATTATTGGTAACCTTGTCGCACTGGAGGTCCGTCTCGTTTAAATATGGCACTCCTCAATAGTGCACATCTACGACATAAGCATACGGGAATCATACTTGGGACTTTCGGTCTCGCGCCCAATCGCCTAACATCCAATACTGTTTATATCTAACTGCAACAAAACCATGATCTTGCTGAAGACTCCCAACTAAGATGAAATAGCCGTCCAGTGCTTCCAGGTTTCCAATGCTAGTCTAGTTAAGATCAGTTCATAATTACAACCATGGCAATTCATTAATTAACTAGAGGACATCTGTTTTATACTCTTTAATGTTTATTAAGTGAATACTTCTGCATTCATGTTGAGTTGTACATTGGGAATTAGACTCACTACCTTTCTATTTAAGCAATAATAACACGACATTCATGTAGTCTTCATACTCAGTTACATATTCCATTAGGATGAAAAGTAACAAATTCATTCAGTAATCACTGTTTATAAATAAATTCTCTCTAGATGTAAAAAAATACTGTGACGAAAACAACATTTAATTATGTTTCACTGATTAAATCTAACCATTTGGGGGTAGAATCTAATCTACCCTTAAGCTTAACTATTGATTTCTACTCAGTAATCAATCAGTGTAAACACACTATACTGAACGAAGCTGATTGGCTGAAGAAATTCATGGAAGTTGTTTGCTTCCAATAATAGACTCAAGTAAACTTCTTAATAAATACTCACATTTTGTTTTAATTATGTTATTCAATTTAATATTACTTTAAATTACATTATCATTATGATGAATTGTCAATTAAACACTTTTACAAACATTTCAACAAACAAACAAAATGATACATTACGGGGTTGTGAAAATTGTTAAGCTACAAATTTGAAATCATGAATTGGTCAAAGTTAAACCACCATTAGAAACTTGAAATTACTGGATGGCAGTTTCGTCCTGTATGGGACTCATCAGCAGTTAGATGCTGGCTCAATGGTCCAGGAGTTAGGCGTTCGCACGCAAGACCGAAGGTACTGGGCTCGAATCATGTGAGGCGCAGTAGTCGTGGATGAGCACTGCTGGTGAGTCCCATACCAGGACGAAACGGCCATTCAGTACTTCGGGGTTCCTAATGGTGGTCTTACTTTGATCAATTCATGATTTCAAAAATGATACATGTTAAACCAAAACCAAAAAATAAGGGGAAAACAACCTACAACTGACCTTGGATTTTTATAATCATTTGTGTCTTGAGGAAATAATGTATCATAATCTGATATTGTTTTATGAAAATTATCCATTGTTTTTTCATTCAATGGTAAATTATCATTTCCATGATTGTTTATATTATCATTATCATTGAAATTCGTATCAACTGTTAATTCGTCAATGAAATTTCGACTAGAATAAATTGGATTAGTGACACAGTCTTGATAATTTGCACTACTAGTAGTAGTAATAGTATTACTATTATTACTATTACAATGATCAGTATTTACGATACGTGTAAAATAATTTGGAAGTTTTGAATTGTCGCATATACTACTCATATTTGTTTTAGTAGTATAATTAGTATTATTAGTGGTTGTATGACCAGAAATGTTATCATTTGTAGTAGTCTCTGTATTATTGTTTACAGAATTCATGCATACAGGTTGTATTGTTGATTGGTAAGGTTTAGTTGTCAATTGTTGATCATATGGATCTGATATGGAATGAAATTTATCCGATGGTAATGAGAATTGATGCCTTAATTGACGCTTTTTATCTTGTGAATTGACAGTGTCATGTGAAAAGTGTAATTCACAATATTCAATGTTATTTTTGCTATTAGTACTGGATTTTATTGGTTCACAAGTGGTGTTATTCGGATAAAAAGTTGAAGTGAATGATTTTCCTTGCTGTGATTTATTATTAGTGTCAGTATTTGCTGTAATAGTAGTATTAGTAGCAGTAGTAGTACTATTAGTACTAGTGGTAGTTGTAATAATGATGGAAGTATTAACACTACTGAGTGTATTATTAATATTCATAGGATGTTTTACATTTTGATTTGGACCCCATGAACGCCATACTTGTGATTCAACATTATGAACTGGATTTGAAGATTTAACTTGCAACACAGCATCCCAAAATTCATTTTCAGCTCCTTCATATACCTGAAAGTTAGTTTAAAGATAGATCAATCAAAAAAGTGCAGTAATGAAGGCAATTAAAAAAAATGCACAGTTTTTAATTACAAAGAAATTTCTATATTATGAAATGTTAAATTTTAAAGCTGTCGTTGTCACTCCGAACAACATTTTCAGCTTAGATTTTATACAAAAAAGAATTTTCTTGACTATTCTATAAGCAGTTAGTCAGTCTGTTCTGATGAATTTTTTACAAACAGGTTGTTATTACACGTGGTGGAGAAAACTTGTAGCTCTTCTGAACAATGGGCAGAAGAATAATGAAAGCTCCACAACTAAAGAAACATCCAGCTCAGAAAACCAAACACCACCACAACAATTCACCTGAGCTACAAATTTTCTCCATCATCTCAAAACCATATGAGTGTGTATTCATACGATTATTGTGACTAGTAGTTGGAGACAATGTGTTATGAAGTTGAGAATCAATTACAATCAAACAGATTCATCTACTATTTATCTTCTTACAGATTTTGTGTTTTAAGATTACCTGATGTCTTTTTGTTATTACTGACATTGTATCACACTGATATTAGTCTCAATGTATTGATGTTATGTCAGTGCTTTTACTAATGGAGATATATTAGTTAGATTCTATGTTGTTTTTATCTGACCAACTTATGCTTACTAGTGACTAGCTTGGTGAGGAAATTCTCGGAGTTCTAGTAAGAAACCATGACCAGTGAAGTTCGACTCTGTTGGGTGTAGGCAGTTACTTGCCGAATACAATGCGTGATGATACGCACAGTCCGTAGATTGATCAAAGTCATACATTAACACTGTTGGATGCCGGCTCAGTGGTCTAGAGGTTGAGCGGTCGCGCACGAGGCTGTGGATGCGCACTACTGATGAGTCCAATATTAGGAAGAAACGACTGTATAGTGTTTCCAGGTTTCAAATATGGTCTAACATTGATGGATTCATTATTTCAATGACTGACTTTTATCCGTAATGCAATTAGATAACCTAAATGAAACATTTTTTTACTCTTATTTAGAACTAAAGGAATTTCCACCCTCTTTATTAACTTTCAACAAATCCATAAGACTGATTTTGAGCATAACATTCACTTGTGACATTAAAAAAAGCATTGACTGAACTATCGGGTATTGTATATATATGTCGATTTTTTGGAGAATGTAAGAAGCTAGTCATAAAGAACTCAACCAATCAATAATAAAAAAAACTGCTGTGATTGTGAAAAAACTGAACGATCTCCACTGTTGTGAAATGTACAGAGAATACACATAAATTTAGCAATAGTAAATAAGAATAACTAGCAAAACAGTAGGGAATTTAGAAAAGATTTGAAAGAATGACTAATGATCATCAGTCTATTTATTTGTTGACGAGTTATTTTTTGGAAATCTTCTGATTTTTTAATTTAATTAAATAACTTTCAACTGATAATAAACAAGAAAACAGAAAACATGAAAAAATTCAATGTGTTGTGCTTTGTTTACAGAATGTTAATATAATATTTTCTATCTATGTCATCGTTAATTGTGGAGCAACACCATTCATAATTTTCAAATGAGAAAGTTTTCAGTCAAGTGTGTGCTTACGGAAATCTCACGTTCTATCAGCTAGTTTTTTTAAATACAAAGCTTTCCCTCTCATTCTAGACAACATTATAAGGTGCTATCTCAAGTAAAAGTAAGCATTTTCGACTATTGGAAAAGTATTAAACCAGTCCTTTTTGATGATCAATATTAATTAGTCAACAAGTAAATAGACTGATGATTATTAGTCACTCTTTCAAATCTTTTCTAAATTCCCTACTGTTTTGCTAGTTATTCTTATTTACTATTGCAAAATTTATGTGTATTCTCTGTACATTTCACAACAGTGGAGATCGTTCAGTTTTTTCACAATCACAGCTATTTGTTATTGTTGATTGGTTGAGTTCTTTATATGACGATCTTCCTACATTCTCCAAAAAAATAGACTTATACACAATACTTGATAGTTTAGTTAATGCCATTTTTAATGTCACAAGTCAATGTTATGCTCAAAATCAGTTTTACGAGGGAGATAGCGAATGTGTTCTAGATGAACAAATTGATTGAAATTCAAATTAGTGGATAAAATGGACTATTTTAACACTCTTCAATACTGAGACAGTGGTCTAGAGATTAGTTGTCCACGCGGAAATTCAAAGATTCGGGGTTTGATTCTGTTGGCGACGTTACATCAACAAAGCTCACTTGGAAAAATGTCCTAATTTTGTTATCTATTTCTAAAATTTCGAATTTTTATGTTTTCGCGCCAAGAGACGCTCTGTTGACTTACAGCTTACATTTCCGACTAGGAAAATCCTTCACTGTCATTGGTTGACAGATTTTTTAGTACTCTATTTTGTGGCTCTCCTAACAGCGTTGATATCATTGTATAAATAAGCTTGATTTGTGTGCTTAGCAACCATGTATTTTCTGGATGCCTGTAGAATACATTCTCTACGCCTTATTAAGACTTCTTGCTTTTGTTAGCTGAGCCTTTGACAATCAGATTAGAATAGCCTATCGTGTCACTGCACCATACATCTGCGCTCCGTTTACCGAGTAAGGTGAACTCGCAATAGTTTTGAGCATATCGGATTCACGCCTGCAAAGTAGTGGATGCACGTTTCTAAGAAGCTCCTTACTAGGACGAAATGGCCGTCCAGTGTTTTCAGGCCTCTAACAATAGTTTAATTTCAATCAGATCATGGTTTTAAATGATTTCACAAGGAATCAAAAACACATATTTTAATCTTCAAAAGTGGAAGTATAAATGTTTGAAGTTGATAGAGACAACCAATCTGGATTTGTATGTAGAAATTTCTCCAAACAATATTAATCTGGAAAAACTTTCCTGAATATACAGTCACCATGTAGTGAAGGAGAACACAGGTGGGGCAACCGATTTGTATTTAACGAAAATTACAGAGTTACTCAGTAAAATAGGAAAACCATATCGTAAATCGTTAATTTGCAAAATATCAGTCCATCATATCAAACTGGACTGTTCCTGTTACAAAACATCAATCCATTGTCTAACATTTCACTATTCATGCGTTTCATACAAATTCCATTGTGTTCTAACTTTTCCTTTCTTGCTCTTCCCTCATCTTCTGCTGCCAGACATTACGTTGACACTCACGTCATATACTACTTATAAGTAGCTCGCACCACAACCATAGTATTATAGCTTATTATTAAAACTAATTAAATGCATTTTCCCCATGATTTATTTAGGCGAAACTCAATTTTTGTTCACTATGACGTCATAAAAATAGTTGATAATATTATAACCATAAACATAACAGACAAATATTGAAGCAAGAAAGAAAATATCAAGGATAACTGTTTAATCCAAAACATCATGTTATCATGATTTCTGTCTAACATTTCCAAGTTAACCTTATCTATCACTTGAATATTCAAAATAAATTAATTAGACATTCAAATTAATATTTTAGTTATTGAATGGTTAGAATCAGTTGATATGGAACTCTGATACTGAATGCCATACTAGTTAACAATTGTAGTCAAAACACACCTGCAGCCTATAGGTAGTTGATAAGATATTAGCTCTGTCTATTCTGATTCACAGCACGAGAAATTACCATTTATCTATATTACTAACACCTGATCCCGTTTTTTTGAGCTCAGATATTTGTATTGATAGAACAATCATTAGTAGTCAATTTTTCATGGCATGTTTTACAACACTACATGCAATGACAAATTTCACATTGAATAAACAATGTGAACAATGCGATCTAATCAATGAATCTAACAAATGATGAAATATGCTTCTTGAATTCCGATACCAGCCTCAATACATTCATATAGATTTGTCTACCGAATATTATACGAAGTAAAATACTATAATTCCTGATAACCGTATGGTGAATAGGAGAAATCTCAAAAATTGAATCTTTTTTTGTAGTCATAGATATACCACTGAAAACTGTCTGATATATTGTCAATAAATAGAAATTATTATTTGCTATAAATATCTTGATTTCTATGTTATCATCAAGAGTAATATAGAATTTTTTTACTAAATATATCGATATACAGATAATATTAAGAACTTTAACATTTTTAGTGTGTGTGTGTATGGACAATGTTTAAAAGATTAAACGACAAGTTTTCAAGTTTAACATCCCATTACAAAAACAGTGCAATTTTTACATTTAGTTTATTTTAGGAATACACTTAAGCACAAATACAGGTACAGTTTGTCACTATCATTGGTGTTCTGTATGTTCTATCTGTCAAGTTGCAGTTTTTTTTAGAGTCAGTAAACAGAAGACAGGTGGAATTCATATGATTTGAATGTGAATGAGAAAACGATTTCGTGCTACTTACTTCATTTTGATCGCTACTTACAAATGCAGCTTGCTAAGAACTGTAACTGAGTATTTTATCAACGTGACCAATTTATTTCGTCATCATCTACCAGTGTGCAATCTTTATTTAGTACCCTATACGTAACCTAACTATTTCTCATCTGGTTGTTCTAATTATACGTGAATAATATATCGAAGACACCTATGACGGAATATTAGTAACCTGTGAATATCCTCTATTATTAAGGGAATAATTTCTGATATGCTCGTCAACTGATAGGCTTGAATCCGATTACGAGTTCACCCTACTCGGTAAACGGATCACAGAGATAAATGATGCAATGATATGATAGGCTATTCAAATCCGTATGTCCCAGACCCTGCCAACAAAAGTAAGGAGTCTTGATAAGGCGTAGAGAATGTATTCAACAGGCATCCAGAAAATACATGGTTGCTAAGCACACAAATCAAGCTTACTTATACAATGATATCAACGCTGTTAGGAGAGCCATAAAATAGAGTACTAAAAAATCTGTCAACCAATGACAGTGAAGGATTTTCCTAGTCGGAAATGTAAGGTGTAAGTCAACTGAGCGTCTCTTGCCGCGAAAACATAAGAATTCGAAATTTCAGAAATAAATTACAAAATAGGACATTTTTCCAAGTGAGCTTTGGGGATCTAACGTCACTGACAATTTCACACACAAAAATTTCATTTCACATAAATTTTAAAATGTTGATTGATAGATAGAGTTGAAAACTAGGATCGTTTTGCTTTGTTTGTTATTAAACATAATACCTTTCAGTCACCTGTTTGCAATCCATTCAATATCAGTTATGATAAAGCTATAATTCAATAGAAATCCACTTCAATGGCCAAAGATAAATATTTTTGTGATTTGTTTTTATGACATTTTACAATAATCCTATTTGTAGTACGGGGTTGTGAAGATTGTTAAGTTACACATGAATCTATCAGTGTTAGACCACCATTAGAAACCTGGAATCACTGGACGGCCGATTGGTCCTGGTATGGAACTCATCAGCAGTGCACATCCATGAGGTTAGGCATTCGCGCACAAGTTCGAAGGTCCTGGGTTCGAATCCCGCGAGGTACGGGAGTCGTGGATGCGTATATACAACTTCATAAGAAATTGAAACGTAAACAGTGAACACATTATTCATCAGCTAACATTAAAATCCTATACTCAAACTTTCCTATCTTTTATTCTAATCCTGGACTACATGAATAGTAACAGATAAACTTCCCAATCTGAAAATCTTTCTACCCTGATTATATTATAAAGGTAGATATTAGTAAAATTCTATTGTACTTATTCATTCAATAGATTTAATAAGTCTGAATCAATAAATAATACAGTATTTAATTATCATTTAGTTATTGAAATAAAAATTTTTTTTATTCATATTAGATGTTTCAAAGCTTAGTGTCTTAACTGTTACGTCACTGCTAGAAAAACTACAATCTTTATTACAGAATAAATATCCATTTTCAACTTTTTTACATACACTGTTTTATATTATCCAACTTATAAAATGATTATTCAGTTTAAAAATAATGTAACGTTCAAACTAACTTATTTCATATTTGATCAATTAAAAAATAAACAAGTGAATTTGTTCTCAGTTTCAATAATGTAACATTAAACAAAGGAACAACCCCAGATTTATTAAATTAATTTATAACAGTAATCAATGAAAAATGTATCAATAACTGATTGGTTTCGAGACAATCAATCATTACTAGACTACTATTACGAATCTGGAAAGCATCGGATGGCCGTTTCGTCTTAGTATGGGACTCTTCAGCAGTGGTCTTACAATGACTGATTCACGATTTCAATATAAAAAACAACCTCCATAACTGTATAATGAATATCATACAATGTGCTCACTAATGAATAGATCCCTCAGGAAATTCACGGAGTCCTAATGAGAAACTGTAACCAGTGGAGTTCAACTGTCAGGTGTAGGCAGTTACCCAAATACGACAATGGCTGAGGTTGCGCAAAATCCTTAGATCAGTCAAAGGTATACAATAACACCGTTGGATGCTGGCTCAATGGTCTAGAGGCTAAGCGTTCGCGCATGAGTTCGATTCTCGCAAGCGGGAGTCCATACCAGGACGAAGTGGCTGTCCAGTGCTTCCAGCTTTTCAGTAGTGCTCTAACAATGATTCATGATTGCAATGTATTACAATCATGCTAATCCAACTTCCTTTTCAGATTCCTAAAGAAATACCCTTCCATGGTGTGTGGGCAGCTGTAACAGTACATGAAATCAACTTCATCGTTTTATAGAACATTCAACTAATTCAATACGAAACTATTACTCAAAAACAAAACAAAACAAACAACCATCACTTACTCCATTTTGATGACGTCGATTTGAATTGGATTGATGAGTAGAACATTCATTAATTTTATTAATTTTATTTAAAGGTAATATTTGTTGAGTTGTTGTTGTAGTAATGATAGGTCCATTTGAAGATGATGACATTGATGTTGATGTTGATGGTAGAATATTATTTGTATTCTGTTGACTAGAATATTTTACTGATTGTAATCGATCTACTTTATTATTATGATTAGTATCATTTGTTTTATGTAAATAATTATTTCTAAAATCTAATCTTTGTTTCATTGTTCTTAAAAAAGTGTTTGTATGATTAATTTTATTATTGTTATAATGATTATTATTATTATTATTATTATTATTATTATTATTATTAATATTTATTGGTTTTCCAAATTCTTCACATTTCAATTTTGTTGCATAATGATGTCGTGATGAACGATCATTTACTGAACTTGCTCTTGGTCGTATACGTGGTGTTGTCGTAGTAGTATTAGTAGTAGTAGTAGTAATTGACGTTGTTGCTGATGTCATTAGTTTCTGATCTCTACTACTACCAATCATATTCATTTGTCTCCAACGTGGATATTCTCTTAGTGTTTGTTGTTGTGATAATTGATTCACCGACATGTTATTATTATTGTCTTGTGGATTTCTTAATACTGATGATTTCATTGAATTGGTTGATGTTAACAATTTTGAATTAAAAAAAGATGAATTTTTCAAGAATAATTGATGATCAGTATTCCAATTATTGATTGATTTCCAAAATTCTATTGAATATTGAATAGTGAGAATTGTGGTTCAGTATTTCGTTTTTTTTATTCATATTGATAAATTAATCATGAATATTTTATTTTTAAAAAATGTATTTTTTTTTAACAGTTCCAGTAAAGCGAGTAATCGAATGTGTATACATACATAAATACTATTTCTGCCGTTTAAAGTCAGTTGCAAAAATGAACTTAACCCAATCAATAACTGACATTATCATTACCAGTCCATTACCGATGCCTATGACCTTTCGAAGGTTAACCAACAAACTAACTGTACATAGCATAAAGGGAAAATATAACCATAAAGGTTCAAGATACACACACCTGTTGTTATGTTTGTAGATGTGTGTGTGTGTATGTATGTGTAAGGATGAATCTGTGATTCACTGATGAATGTTAAACCCATTTCTTTTACGTAAATGCATGACTCATTTCTGAATACTAGTTTTAAGTTCTCTTCTTCTTCTCGGCCCTTGTCTAATAGAATACACTATTTCGGAATTAGTATTGTGGCTAAACAATAAAAGAATGCCAATTCATTACCGAATAATTGATTTTTTTATTAGGAATGGGGGGGAAATCAATTTTGTATGACCAAAAAACAAATTAAGAAGGATTACAAAACGCGATGATAGTAAAAATTCGTTCATTCATCCTAGCACTTGTGTAATGGGTGAGTGTTAGAAATGTTTTTTTGTGTAAATATATGTATTGAGTGAATGAATGACTCCTTTTTTTAACTGGTTCAGCTAACGAGTAGACAAACAGTAATGAAATTTTAATACATACATATGTGTGTGTATGTAAATTAATCTGTCTTCATAAACTAATTAATAATGATCCAATGAAAATCTCCCATTCAGAAGAGGGAAATATATGCCACTACTACTACTGTAGAGAAAGAAACACCATCACTACTGCTGGTCTCAAATCTAGGTCGAACAGGAGGTATGCGGGTAGCGGGATAAGATTAACAACAAACCTATATCAATACGATTTGCAAACAAATGGAAAGGATAGAATAGTTTTTTTTGAAAATTTCTAGTCAGTGAGGGATGTCAAGCCTATGTTTATAGTATGCATGTAGTAAATAAATTTTTTTTGTCATTAGTGTAAGATCCATTTTTGAAGGTTTCGTTTGTGAAAATCTCTCTGTCTATATATTTGTAATTCGTTCTTATTGATTCCTTCAGTCGTACATTTTGTTATTCTGTTTGATTCCATTTTGAGATGATAATATTTATGGCACAGTTTTGGAGGTTTACGTTTTTACACATTTGAAATCATCAATCAGTCATTGTTAGACCACCATTAGAAACCTGGAAGCACTGAAGTTTCTATTTCCTTAGACTTCACTGAACTGCATTATTTTGTTTAAGCTGATACTTCGTCATGGCGACATCCATATTGATTTGTTCCTCTTTTGATTGGATTGTTTGCCTTGACTAGAATTGTGCATTTCGATTGTGAATTGGAGCACTCTTCCAGAATTGGAAACACTCTGTGATATAAAGCAACCAAATATTATCCTTTGAACGAATCTGATCTATCCCGTAAGGATAGAACAACATTTATTTATTGCTGTTAATTTGATCAATTGAACAATTGTTAGTGGAATAACTGAGTGATAATATTTGTTTAGGTAATGATGTATATTTATATTTATGATGAATTTTAGAACCGTCATTTACCCAAATCACTTGTTTTAGTTTCAACTGGGCAAGACGCGTATCTAAACTATACCTAGACAGTTATTCTTCAGTCCAAACCTCAGTTTGAATCCTACAATTACTATTCACGATTTTGTGTAAAATATTGAAATGTTTTTTGTAGAATTTTTTTTATTTCTACATGAAAAAAAATTTTTTTTAAAAATGACTTAACATTTTCCAAATTATTTAATAACTTTTTTTTCTCTAAACTAAAAATAAACAATGAAGGTGAAAACATAAACTGTTATTTGTTAAAATTTATTTTTCATGTATTTCTTTGTTAAAATTCAAATGTTACCTATTTTAAATCAATGATAGTTTTAATCAAGAAATCGATATAAACTTGGAGAAATATTAGGAAGTTAAATAATAGAAATTGAGATATATGTAGCTTTCAGTAGCTGACTTAAATTCGAAGTAGCGCTTATCATTTTAGTGATCCATGGTGATCTCATTCCAGGTTTTTTACGAATGATCGAGTATGCGATGAAACAAATTTTCCTTTTAATTTCCGAATATCATGCTTTGGCGAACTTTTTTCTCGCAACGGCGATAATTAGAAGCCAAATACGGTTTTACGGGTGAATTTTGCGCAATGATGCTCGCAGACAGACAGACAGACAGAGAATACAAAGCATAAAAGCAAATCAAAGCGAATTATAGAAGCCAACTCTATTATAATGCGTTGAAGCATGACTAAGTATTTATGCTCATGGCAATAAAATAGGCTAGACATGTAATAAAAGAAGTATGGATTCACACACACAAACAAAAACAACCAAGGTTATGAGCAAATGACAGACAACGTTAAAAGACATGTCAATAACTTAAGAAGAATGAATTAATTAATTAATTTGTCCGAAGGTTGAGGTAAACACCTGTGTGTTCGACATACTTGTACACACACCACAAGCTTCATATAGATAATATTTGAGGTGACAGTCATGACTAACTCATCCAATGACAGTGAGAGTCTACACTCATTATGAAGATATTGAGAGATTTACAAAGTCATAATGTTACTTGAACAATAACACTTTTATAATTAATTACTTGTGAATATGTGATAAGCAATTCTTTTCTTTTCAGAAAAAGTAATGAGATTATTGTATTTGCTAAAATGAGAAATCAATTAATGTAGTCTATTTTTTAATTACACAAGAATATTTGAAGACAATGAAATCTTTATTCGCTTTATTTATAAATGTAGATTTGTTATAATTCATTATTTTGCAGGCAGTAACTACCAAAAACAAGTGCGTGAGGTCGTGCAAAATATTTGTAGATCAATCAGAATTAGACAATAACACCATTGGAAGCCAGCACAATGATCCAGGGGTTAGGCGTTCGTGCACAAAACCGAAGGTCCTGGATTCGAATACAGCAAGGTGCAGGAGTCGTGGATGCGCACTGCCGCTGATGAGTCCCATACCAGGAAGAAACGGCCATCCAGTGCTTCCAGTTTTCTAATGGTAGTCTAACAATGATTAATCGATGATTTCAAATGTGTAAAAAATCACTAATCTCCATAACTCTAATTGAAAAAACAAACATTTCATTGTATATTTTTGTTTATTTAATGTGTCATTTGTTTAATTAATAATGTTGATACAATAAAACACCAGTCTGCATGATATTGTCTCTTAGTAAAGATAAATTTTAGAAATTGAAAATAGAATTCTGTCAAATAATATTTAAACTATCAATTACATTCATCTTTTTATTAGTGTTTTTTTAAGCCTATGGATTCAAATTTCAAGATTTGAATAAGAAGTAGGGCTTTTATTTTGTTTAGAAAAAAAGCCCTAAATGATGTTTAAATAATGAAATATATACATAGTTATTGACAGTTGAACAGCTTGAATCATAGGAAAACAAATTCAATTGACTAACGAATTTCTATTTATGATAGTTTATTTATTTATTGAATTTTGATCAGTCATTACACAAACTACTAATTATGCTTTCTAAATAATTGGTTTCAAGTTTATTTGTGACTGTTCATTTACAATTTTTGTGTTTAGACAGAGTTTTTGTAATCAACACAAATTTTTTTTTGTCAAATTTCTCTTATTGTTGTTCAGTGTGTCAATATCACTAATTCGTTCAATGTATTAATTTAAAGCAAAAAAATGATTCATATAAATGAGTGAAATTTTTTATTATCAAATGTTTATAAATGCAAACTGGGTAAAATATTTTTCGTTTAACGTAATTTTCAGTAACTCTGCCTGCAGCCCCATATGGGGCTACTGCCGGTCCTAAGCCTGGATAGAGGAGGAGAGTTGGGATCGGGGTTGACGACTCCATTCCACCAAAAAACTAACTCGTTAAAAAACGCTAACAAGAAAACATAATTCAAACCACTTTAACACTGCCCTAGCAGTTAGGTCTTCTTTCAGCAAAGTTATGACGTCTTATAATGAAAGCCGAGTTCCCTCGGAAGTCAAGAGGCTAATGCCTCTTCTGACAACCAGAGCAACCATTCTTTTAGGTACATGGAACGTTCGAACATTGTGAGAGACTGGAAGACTAGTTCAAGTTGCTGCAGAAATGAGAAGATACAACATCGAGGTGCTCGGCATCAGTGAAACGCATTGGACACAGGTAGGACAATTGAGACTAGCTTCAGGGGAACTGCTGTTATACTCTGGTCATGAAGAGGAAAACGCTTCACAAACACAAGGAGTTGCACTGATGCTGTCCAAACATGCACAAAAGGCACTGATAGGATGGGAATCTCATGGACCCAGGATCATTAAAGCATCCTTCTAAACAAAGAAACAGGACATTAGAATGAACGTCATCCAATGTTATGCACTTACCAATGACTACAATGACGACGATAAAGATCAATTCTACAAGAGGCTGCAGTCAATCGTCGACAGATGCTCATCAAAGATCTGACCATTCTAATGGTAGACCTAAATGCCAAGGTTGGCATGGACAACATTGGATATAAAAACATCATGGGACGACATGGACTGGAAGAAAGGAACGGAAATGGTGAAAGATTTACCAACACATGTGCCTTCAACAAACTGGTCATAGACGGAACAATATTCCCACACAAACGCATACACAAAGCTACATGGATTTCACCGGATCACACAACTCAGAACCAATTCGACTAAATATGTATCAACAAAAAGTTTAGAAGGATCACAGAGGAATAGAGAGTTTAAAGAGAAGCTGACATGGCAAACAATTGGAAAGCAGTCAAGGATGAAATCACTTCAACATGTTACGAGGTTCTGGACCACACAAAGAATGGATCTCTATTGG